TTTTATCAACAAAACCTTTTTTTTTTTTTTTTTTTTTTTTTTTTTTTTTTTAATATTCGTCTAAACCCAATTTCTGAAAATATTTTGATGAAAGTTTCACGAAGCTGAAGCCAATAAGTTGGAAATTTGTTTAACATTAAGTAATTCTTACACAATTCAAATATTTTTTTAATTATACCCCCTACAATGTCACACACGACGTTTTGTGCAGTTTAAGGGTTGAGTTCAGAAATGCAGAACAAAAGAAGTTCAAAGCTAAAGTTTTCCCTCCTGGTTCTTTGTATTTTTTTTTCACCCAGACCTTGGATTTAATATCCTTGAATTGGGTTAGGTTGCAATATTATAATATATAAACATTTGGTCATTATACGTATCCAGATGTTGAATGTTTTTTCCTAGTGTGTTCGAGATTTGTGAATCAGGTTTGTTTCAGACTTGCCTAACTGCCCCACTCAGGTGAAGAGAAGGATCTAATCATTTCCCATTAAGTTTAGCAAAATAATGAGTTAATGACAATCTGATTTACCTCTGCTTTTGCAATGTTTTGTATGAGGTTATTTTTCCCCACTATCTCTAGAGTTTCTAAATTCACTTCATAAATTCTGCCTGCATTCCTAAAATGTTTTTTTTTCTGTCCTTTTATTTTGCTTATTCTTAATTGCTGGATTCTATCCTTTACATGTCATTAACTCATGATAAATTTATCAATAGGCATTTGTCCATAATCTATCCTTAAAATTTCTTTATTTCCATGTAATGATGAAGTCCCCCCCCCCCCCTTCTTCCTTAGTGGGCATTTGTCAGACATAAGTCAGGGCAGCACCTGTAGAATGCAAGAGATTATACACAAAAGCTAGGAATAAGGGAAATAATGTATCCCAGTCTCCGATCAGGCCTCCTGGTTGATGGTCTGATCAACCACTTTCAACTCTAACCATCTGAATTACACACTAATCACATTTACTATTTTCATCTCTAACCATTTTAATTACCCAGGAACTGCTGGGTTGATGGCATCCCATCAACAATCAATACTGTCCCTCTCCTTGACCACTTTTCTCATCACCACCCTTGCTTCCCATCAACTTCCTTATCCTTCACTACCCTTCCTTCATCCATCCTGTAAGCTCTGTGAAGATAGGGTCTTGTTTAGCGAGATTGGAAAGGTATATGTTTTGCCGTTTTATGCACAGGGAAAGAAAGCATAGGGCTTGACCCTATGGACAAAGACCAGTCACCATGCAAAGTTTGAAGTGACTAGCCACAAGTACAGTATCTGGTCTCCCAACCCCAAAATGAAAAACATTCCATTTTATAGATAGGATATTGTGTATAGGTAGTGATAAACCAAACAAAACTTAGCTCATCTATCACTACCATATATGATTCTCACAGAGGTTAGAGTTTACTGGTTATGATTACAAATTTATTTTTAATCCTCTTAAATTCTGAGTTGGATTCACTGTTGGCACAATAACAACAACAAGCTTGTTGTACATAAACTAGCACTTTAACCACAAACTGTTTACCTGCTTTTGTGTGCAGGTGGTAAAGGAAACTCCAGTACATATGATCCGTATATATTTTCATCCTTCATTTGAAGCAGTGATGATATATATATATGGGGTTATATGTTATTTTAATAATTCAATCTTGCAATCTTAATGTAGTATTGGGTACAGTATTCATAATGTATTTCAGTACACACAGACTTTTAATGTCATTGTGGCTATATTGAGTTTTAAATAACCAATGATAATATATGGGGAAGAGAAAAAAAGGAAATGTAATGTAGAATTATCAGTATGCATAAAAAAAAGATTGCATGAACTTGCAATGAGATAATTAGCATGATCTCAAGAATGAAAACTTGATGGAGACAACAGGGGAAGCACAACCACATCATGCGGTGTACCACAAAGTTCATCTTCACATCATCAGCACTGTAAGCTCGCTCAGCCCGTGTTTTCCCTATTGACTGTTGGGTGCAACAGCAGCCTATTCCTGTTGTGCCATTTTATCTACCTCCTCCAGTTCATTCAACTTTTTTACTACTACTATTGTACACAGAAATACTGTACAGTACTTTTGTCCCTCTTAACACACTTTCACCTATATCCCAACCCATCCTCAGACCAAGTCCATTCCATCCAGTGGTCGACCCCAAAGACACATTCACCAACTTAAACATGCTCATCATTCAAAATAGTAATTTGCTCATAAATTAATAATTATATATTAGCATACTGTGCATATTTAGGCATAGCTTAGGTGTTTAGATTCTGTTAGCAATTATTTGTAGTGCATAGGTGATGCATTTAAAGCGTTGTGGTTCAAAAAAGTCGTCAGCGCAGCACTTGTTCCAGAAGTGTTCAGACATCAGTTGCTAGTCGTGTGTAAACCGGTTTTTATTCATAAACAGGGAGGGGGGGGGGGAGAAGGAAGTTTGGTGGGTGCATAGAATGGCCTTTGTTTATGAGGATGGGCTGTATATCCTTATATTCCCCCCCCCCCCCAACAATCAACATTGATTAATAGGTTGTAAAATGTACATGTGCAAAGATAATGAATACGCTTGGTGGGAGTCCTGCATAAATCAAATTGAACATACTAACAATGAATATTAAATTAAAATTATGACAGTCAAAGGATACATGCTTAGGAATTTACTAGATCAGTCAACTTTTAATTAGTTTCCTTTAACAAACCCTAATAGCCACAAATAAAGAAGATAAAAGTATCAAACAAGGCAAGAAGTAAATCACATTTTCCATTAATAAAATAATGTATGCTGCATGTAGATATAGAATAAAAAATCACGGAGATACAAAACGTTTACATTAATTAAAAACATTAAACTTCATGTATGAATGTAGACATACACATTACTGCTTTTGTGACATGAAAAGCAAGTTATAGATGTACACTATCAGGAAGATGGCCATTTGCCAGTGCTAACCAGCAGAAGTTTGGATTTTACAAAGAATTTGTATTTTCTTTGAATTTATACTACTGTGCATGCCACAAATAGAGGGGAGCTAATAGTGCAATGAAACTGGACTACGAGTAAAACTGTTGATACATGTACATTAACATTGGTTTACTATAATGCAACTAAAAAAAAAAAAATTGCAAATTACTTAAATCCTCACAATAGGCTGAATTTAATTTACAGCCTACATAATACACATTAACTACAGATGATGGGAGAAATTTGTTTATTACGTTACAGATGGTTTCTAGAAATCTTATAAATCTGGATTGGGATTTAAAAAATGCACAGTTTTATTGCAACATGTGTAATGACTATCTATAAATTTATTGAAGAATAATGTACGTACATGCACATGTACCATATTTGCCGGCGTAAAAAGACGCATCCTCGCATAGGATGCACCCCTATTTTACAAGGGAATTTTGTGGAAAACTATTTTAGTACGTTTCAAACATTTATTGAAAGCAATTTTAAAGTTGATTTTGTACCACAACTCTTACCTCCTCTAAGATCAGCTGTGATTTTATTTATATTTTGGGCAAGAGAATTGCTATGCAGGATGTGAAACTTTTACTTCTGGATGTGATGTGTTGTTGCCGCATCAGGCCGGCACACCCAGCTGTGGCGCACCATCACAGTGCTCTGGTGTTGTCATTAATGCATTGCAAATGGCTGACAGGCAGATGAAAGTTGAACATTCCTTTCAATTTTCTCAGATCATTTTTCATTTTGATAATGAATAAATGTGCTTTAAAGGCAAGTCGTTAAATATTGTATGACATCAGGTGTGGGTTATGTATACTTGGCAAGATGATGCGCACTTCCTTCGTAACTGCCAACATATCATAAGTTTGTGATAAGACATAAAATATTGAAAGCAAGCAGAGTTGTTATTAGTAACGATTTTTGTGCATAGTGAACTTACTCGGTATTCACCTGGTTGTGTTTGCGGGGGTTGAGCTTTGCTCTTTCAGCCCGCCTCTCAACTGTCAATCAACTGTTTACTAACCACTTCCCCCCCCCCACACGACACCCCTCAGGAAGCAGCCTGTGACAGCTGACTAACTCCCAGGTACCTATTTACTGCTAGGTAACAGGGGCATTCAGTGTGAAAAACTTTGCCCATTTGTTTCTGCCTGGTGCGGGAATCGAACCCGCGCCACAGAATTACGAGTCCTGCGCACTATCCACCAGGCTACCATGCCCCTGTATGCTTGTCTGGCTGCCTAGCCTATGCCCCTTGGTCTCCCATCCGTAATACAGCCGCATTAGACGCAGGTCACGTTTATACATTTAAAAATACAAAAAGTGCATTTTATACGCCGGCAAATATGGTATATCAAAAGCGGTAAGCCAGCAGGCTTAGAGTTAGTCATGGAAGCAATTACACCCTAGTTATTAGTTCTTTTCTTTTACAGATTCCCGTCCACAAGCTTCTTTAATGAAATTGATGAACCCTTCACAAGTCATAGTTCCTTTTCCAACAAGGCCACAATATGCCATTTACATTCTCATTACAATATTCTTTCAATGACAATTACATTTCCTTTGTTATTTTCTATTTTCATTGACCATCTGTGCCCTTAACCTATTACTATTGCACATACTGGTAGGTTCTTGGGACCTTGTTAATCATTACATAGTGTAAATCCACAATGCAAGTGATGCCCTTTTTACATTAAATTTAATCAACATGTACAGATTTCAGCAAACTAGTTGTAGCAAGTTCCTCAGCCTTTTAATGGAGAGTTTGGCACTAAGTGAAGGTGTTACAAGTGCCATCAAATGTTCCACAAGAAGAATACTAAAATGATGCTCTTAACTACTTTTGTAAGAAACCTAAACAAAGTTATCCAAAATAATTGCCTCTACTAGCCAATTATCATTTATGTCATCTGGTGTTTACTGTAATTTTATTTAATGTATGCGAGTTATACAGAATTGTACTTTGGGAAGCACAGTTTAAGCTGATGTGAAACTGATAAAATTTAAATAAAACATTATCACAGATATAACATTTTATTGTACAAAAACTAAAATAAAAAGTTATCTATTTTATCTTTTTGTCTCATTAATCATCAAATGAGCAAGATATAGCATTAAAAATTTATACACTAACTTTTTAACTCTTCTTATAAAAAAATAAAAATTTCTCCAAACAAATGGGAAATACATATTTGGAAGGCTTATAATTCAGAATACTCTTGGTGTACGACCCATTAAACATGCAACAATATCTACAATGAGACTAAATTTACCTTCAGTTTTCATAATAAAAATTATATAGCTTCTATGTTTTTGATAATTTAGTGTACATTTTAGGAAAGCGGTCCAGTGTAAACCATTTAAATCTTTATATTTAACTAAACTATTTCATATACATTATGTTAATGAAAATATACAAATTAGTGATCAAGTTATGAAAAAATAACTTTCAATTTGATTCACTGATATTCTGTTGACATAATTAAAAACAGATGAACTAGAATGATACTAATGGATGACAAATGTTCATAACATACACACCTTTAAATAAATGATTCAAGTCTTGCATTTGCTGCAGTCATCACATAACTGCACTTTCACACGCACAACTCTCACATACATGATTAGAATGCACTTCCATTAATGTGTGTATCTGACTGCACTCACATGCAGGAACAGGCTTCATCATGAAGGATGGATATCTACATACACCCAAGTGTACAGGCGCCGCAGTTGAACATCCAAGGCTCCATATTTGGCACTAGTAAGTCCATCAGTTTTAAATCTCTTCTTCCCCTCATATAAGTACTGGTATCTGCAAAGATAAGTACAAACATACAGCAAGTTGCTAAATAACTTGTATTACCAAATTAGAATCCATAAAGGTATTACAAATTTAGCTTTCAGTATTGTCAATAATTGGCAAAGGTACTGTGATAAGTAATTATGAAGAGTAGGCTTGGCCAGATATGATTATGCATATTTTATGTTTATACAATTTGTGCAATAAAAATTCTTAGATGCTTTTTGCCCCCTTAAGTCCAGGATTCAGTTCCATACAGTCTGAGACTGGGAGCCTGTTAGATTCTTTGAGGTGTCCCTAGGACTTTCCTAACTGGATCTTTTCCAAGTGGCAATCTACAACAGATGTGTAACTCCATATTACTTATTTGCTGTTAGGCATCAAGTTTAAGAAAACTTTGCAGGAATTTAACCAGGATTCTTCAGCTGTGATCCAACTGTGCCACAGGACCAAATTTGGGAGAATTTTCTTATAACCAATGATAGAACACATCTTTGTACATATGAAAATAAGAAAGCATTCTTTCTGTAAATCATTTAAAAAAAATGCATCATTTTGAAATGATGCAATTATATATTGCACTGTATAATTTTTCATAACAAAAGCCATTGTACTATAGGAATTTTACCATAGGTATAACTACACACATTGCAGTTATACCTATGTTATATAAAGTTGTATAAACCTGCACACAGAAATATTACACGAGACCAGAAGACAAGGCAGAATGTGCAGAATACCCCAGTTGAAAAGCAGAGGTGCAATAGGTACTCAGAGAGAACTATCAACATCAGAGGCCCAAGACTGTTCAACACGCTTCCACTACACATAAGGGGCATAACTGGCCGACCCCTCACTTGACAAACACCTCCAAAAGATACCTGATCAATCAGGCTGTGACTCATACGTCAGGCTGCGAGCAGCCGCGTCCAACAGCCTGGTTGACCAGTCCAGCAACGAGGAGACCTGGTCGATGACCGGGCCGCTGGGTCGCCGAGCCTCGAAATCACCTCAAGGTAACCTCAAGGTAAGGTAGCCAGCCAACACTGGGATTATTGACATGATTACTACACTTAGATATCCCACTTAAAACTCAGATGGGTGGGAGGAAAACAAAAAAGAATTAATGGAAGGATAGGCAGATCTATGGATAAACAGATGGTTGGACGAATGAGTGTGTTAGGCATCATTCCATATTTACTTGCCATGTCACACCCAGACAACTCTGCAATCATGCCCATACACTATCTTCAGTTGATGATCTCTGAGGTGGTGTGACAACAGGTAGTATTTTCCGATTTATAAGAAGTCGATATGCATTGCTAGTATATTTTTTGAAGCTTGGGGAACAGCCTAGATCACAAAGGTGGCTGCCTGTTTAACATCTTCAGAGATTCAACAGGAGAGAAGTGTGCTCTCAAATATGTTTATATGAACAATGCAAGATACCTGGAAGCATAAGCACTTTGATATTAAAGACCTAGGTGTGATCTTGTGCCTGGTGTTGTGCTTCTAGACTTTCCTCCCTCAGAGGCAAATCAGTTTTACAGAAGACATTAAAAACATCCTTGTCAATCAAGAAGTTCACTTGACAGTGAAGCAATGACCAGGAAGAAAAGGGGGGGGGGGGGGGTTACAGCCCAGGCTATGGTTCAAGTACAATGAAGTGGTGGTGGAGGATACTGGCTACGAGTCAAAACTGAAGACTTATATTTACTGGCACAGCCCCTTTTAACTTTGTTGGAGCTGTGGAGAAATTTCAACAGTCATTAGAAATAATGTTAAAAGTCAAATGAGAGATAGTTGCTGTGTATCAGATAATATATCTTTGAAGTAGACCATTAATTTTAATGCAGTGCTGAAGATATTCCATGGCTCAACACTAGTGACTGGCAGTACAATAGGACTTCATGTCTGAATAGTGATGCTATATATTATGTGCTGGAAACTTTAACTTCCCTGTCTTTACACAAACAATTTAACAGGCGATATTGGGGAAATTTTGGCATTACGGTGGAAAGGCTTCACTTTATAAGACTTGTTATAGTTCATGATATTTGTTGTAATTTCTTCCAAATATTGCAATATTTTGTTTGTAAATCTAGATATTTCTTAAACTATTGTGCTGAATAGAAGATAATTTTATAGAGTTTGAGAACTACTTTCGAGCTCTCCTACTAAACCAGCAGTTGTTACCAAGTGGGGCGAGCCCAATATACAATAAATTCTGCGTGTACTATAAGAGCCGATATAATCATCTCTCCAACAACCAGGATAATTTTTTCCAGGTGTTAAGTAAGCAGGATACTGCCAATGTTAATTTTAAGCCACAAGTTTGTTTATATTCATGCAAATACAAAACTTGACTGGCAAGCAAGTGACATGAGGGACAAACCAAGATTTCCATGGTGTGTGTTAAGACAGGCTATTTCAACTGAAGTAAAGAAAATTTGTGAAATAAGATTTGCAGAAAATGTAAGGTAAAAAAAATCCAAAACAGGACAGTAAGTCAGAAACAGGTTCATACAAGGGCAGCAAACTTTGGGAATATTATGGAACTAAAAGCAGTATTAACCCCCTTAACCAGCCACAGCCCCCAATCCAGTATGCACTAAATAAATGTTTCCCAGTCATCTGAAAAGGCAGGTGGATAGATTAAGACCACAGAAAAAAAAAAATCTAATGGTTAAAGAGTGAAGACGTATAACAAAAGCACTGAAAACTTAAAATACCAAGTTGCTGGCCACAAATTCCAATTTACAGGGACTAGGGAGTAACTGTGCCAGTAATTGATTACAGTTAGTTCCCACTAATTACTTTAACTGAGCATACTATAAATACTAATATGAGTATTGGAGATGAACAGTAAAAAGAGCTATATGTATACAAATCCAGATGGAATTTCAAATAAGGCTTTTGAGTTACAAGGACTAAAGCTGGAAGAGCAACCACAAATTATCACTAACAGCAATGAATCTAGCAAAATATGCAATCTTTCAATATGGATCCCAGATAATCAGGAAAGAATAGCTAGGGGAATAGGAGGGGTTCTGATGCTATAACTACACTCGGGGACTGAAAAGAAATGGTGACAGATGGCCCACAAAACTACACAAGTATGGAAATGAATTGTATATGACAACACACTATCAAGCAAAGCCCAAAGAAGACCACAACAAAAAGCAATGAATTGGAGAATTAAATTAAAGCAACTAAGGACCCCTCATGTTGGGGAAAGTGTAGAAATCGAAGTTACTGGATATCATTTCTTGAGAACACATCAATAACCAACAAAAAAGAAGAAATGACCCATCAGCAATGTTAGATACAGCATTTACCTAAATGCTTTGGATTATTAGTAAAATCATTTTACATTCCCACAATAGAGACTCTTACTTAAGCCAAAGAAAAAGCCAATTTTTAAGCCAAAGCCAAAGAAAAATTGGTTTATCTAGAATGACAACAAATTTGAGTAATGGTGCACATCTAAGGAAAGAGGTAGAGGAGCAGAGATGAGAGATTATCAGTAGAGGTGTACTCTACTGAATAAATTATCATAAGGGCTGGTACTAGGACCCAACCTATCATTAAAATTAAGATGTGTATTCAATATCAAGTTAAAATGCTCAAAAATATTTTAAATACCTTCTTGGATTAGGCACATCCTTCTTGTGAGATAACATAGTGTAACGTCCAATATTCGCAGGATAACGCGATATAAAAAGGCCATGATATTTTATCCTGTTGGACATGTCGTCATCTTCTCCTCCCCAGCCCCAAAATTTGTTGCTGAAACCATTAACTAACCGAAACTGGTCTACAGTCATGGCACTTACTCCACCAAATATATCATTGTAAGGCAACCTGCAAAGAAAAATTAACAGTTTATATGCAATTATAATTATTATTATTACGGTATTATTATTATTATTATTGAGAAAATCCAAAGGAGCCGTTAAGAGGACTCGAACCTATGCATACACCTATGCCATGTGCGTGTGAATACCCAGAGCATAGGTTTGAATCCTCATCATGGCTTCTATGGATTTTCTCATTGATACATCACGTTAATGCAATTTCTCTGTGGAATAATAATAATGATGATGTACATGTTAAGCTTATATTGAGCCCCCCCCCCCCCCCACCCATCTCCAGGTTGATTTACTAACCCTCCCCCAGAATGCAAGCAATATACTTTCTCAAGCACAATTATTTTCAGGCCAACTTGTATAAAGTTTAAACATGTATAGTATATACGTTTTCTTTCCTGTCATTCTAAGCAAAGTAGTAGAAGGCAATTTCCTCCTCGGTCTGCCAGTCCCCCAGTCACTGTTACCCCTCACAACACAACATATAAGCTATTCACTTGAGACAGTGAAGCAAGTCCCAGCTGTGTCTGGATACAATTGACAGGATGAACAACCCAGCGGGTTTTCTTCCTTTTGGGGTGTTGTACATGCTGCTATGGTGGTATGTCCACTCACAAGATGAACGGCGCTGCCCAATAAACTCGCCCCTCAGGGCAAAATTTTAAAAATTTTCCTCCCCCCACCCCTCCTCCTCACCCTCCCCATACACCAATACCACTCCTCCCTCCTTACCGTCTCCCATATGCCACCAAGAGTTCCCAGTAGAGGTAAAGTGCAGCTAAATGTTCACTTATTTAATTTATAGTTTATATTTATACCCAATTGTTTTTTGTATGAATAATATGAGTAGTATTCTGTATAATATGTATTTTTAAGTTAATATTTTTTTGGGGGGGGGGTGAAATGGATTAATTCCATTTGCATTATTTCTTATGGGAAAATATGTTTTGGTTGACAAATTTTTGGATGACGAGGTGTCTCCGGGAATGGATTATGATCGTGTACAAAGATACTGTACTACTAATTGGTAAATTGAAAATACTGTAATTGACAATGATTGTTTTTTTTCTGAAAAGGCAAGTTAAGGGTCCTCTGGTATTTAGGAAGGCAGGAAGTTCTCGTAAGGTTTCAAAACTTCATGAAAATCATCAATTGAAAGTGTCCTCTCCTAACCTAACAAAGTAAGCCAGGACTCAAAACAGAAAATGGGACAGAACGTCACTTTTGTGAGTATTTCATTTCAAATTATCTCCATTTTTAGCATGAGTGCACATACGAGCAAAAAGCAGCAAAACGCGGCTCAAATTGTAAGAGAACGGGTTCATTTAAGTTGAACGGGTCATTTCTACCCTGGAACTAGGAAAATTGGAAAGACATTAGTATTGCCCTCTGGTATTGAGTGGCTAGTTTGGCTAGGCAGGAGAATGAGCAGTTGTCACAGCAAAATGAGGCTTTCGTTACGAAATAAAGTGAATACTGCAGGACTTTTGTCTTTCTGGGTGTTCCTCAGACTGCCATTCTGTGCTGGAGTTAATAAAGTAGCTCCTTAGCACCATACAAACTTGGATAAACATAAAAGTATTTGAGAGAGTGATTAGGAGTCAGGTCACCAATTTCATGGAGACCAATGACCTTCACAACCCAGGCCAACATGGATTTCAAGCGGGAAGATCGTGCCTCTCACAGCTACTTGAGCACTACGACAAAGTCACTGAGGCATTAGAAGAAAATCAGAATGCTGATGTGATATACACGGACTTCGCAAAGGCTTTCGATAAATGTGACCATGGCGTGATAGCACACAAAATGAAGTCAATGGGAATAACCGGTAAAGTAGGACGCTGGATACTCAGTTTTCTGTCAAACAGGACCCAGCGAGTAACGGTCAACCATATAAAATCTAGTCCAAGTGCAGTTAAAAGCTCTGTACCTCAGGGTACAGTCCTTGCACCGCTGCTTTTCCTTATTCTCATATCAGATATAGACAAAAATACAAGTCACAGCTTAGTATCATCCTTTGCAGATGACACAAAAATCAGTATGAAAATTACCTCGGCTGAAGACATTGAAAAACTTCAAGCTGATATTAATAAAGTTTTCGACTGGGCATCAGAAAATAACATGATGTTTAACAGTGATAAATTCCAGGTACTCAGGTACGGTAAAAATGAGGACCTTAAACATAATACAGAGTACAAAACACAATCAAATGTACCCATAGTAGGAAAACAGCATGAAAAGGATTTGGGAATAATAATGTCTGACGACCTAACGTTTAAGGAGCATAACCAAGCAAATATTGCGACAGCCAGAAAAATGATAGGATGGATTACGAGAACTTTCAAATCCAGGGATCCCATCACAATGGTTGTACTCTTCAAGGCACTTGTGTTGTCCCGTCTTGAGTACTGCTCAGTACTCACTTCCCCCTTCAGAGCAGGAGAGATTGCTGAAATAGAGGGAATACAGAGAACATATACGGCACGCATAGACGCAATAAAGCACTTAAATTATTAGGATCGTCTCAAAGCCCTCCAAATGTACTCACTAGAAAGAAGACGAGAGAGATATCAAATAATATACACCTGGAAGATACTGGAGGGCCAAGTACCAAATCTACACAGAAAAATAACAACGTACTGGAGTGAACAATATGGAAGAAAATGTAGAATAGAACCAGTTAAGAGCAGAGGTGCCATAGGCACAATCAGAGAACACTGTATAAACATCAGAGGTCCGCGGTTGTTCAACGTCCTCCCAGCAAGCATAAGAAATATTGCCGGAACAACCGTGGACATTTTCAAGAGGAAACTAGATTTATTCCTCCAAGGAGTGCCGGACCAACCGGGCTGTGGTGGGTATGTGGGCCTGCGGGCCGCTCCAAGCAACAGCCTAGTGGACCAAACTCTCACAAGTCAAGCCTGGCCTCGGGCCGGGCTTGGGGAGTAGAAGAACTCCCAGAACCCCATCAACCAGGTATCAACCAGGTAATCAACCAGGATGTGTTAAAAAGATTCCTGTGTAACACTATGTTACAGCAGTTGGATGTCGGAAATTAAATGTTGTGGCGTGATAGCCGAGACGAGGATGCTTGTGTGAAGCCTGGATCCGAGCGTAGATAGCTTGAGTGAAGCCAGGGGTAGAGCATGTAGAGCTCTAATGTGGGGTGGGATTGGACAGATCAAGTACAGGCAGAATTGCTGTCTGTTCTATAGTGAGGCTGTAGCATCTTGTGAGAGAACTAGACTCGAGGGTTACATTGTTGCAGATTGTTGATCGTGTTGGAGAAAATCTGCGTACTGTATATCCAGAGAAACTTTTCAGTGAATCACTATTTGAGTTAAATACTGATTGTACATTCATGACAGCCTATTTTCCATGCTTCACCTGACCATGTCCTTATTTGACTGAATACTTCTGACAAGTTTATCATCCTGCTGGAAAATTTGCTGGTTACTTTTGGCTGTCCTAAGTGCTTCTTGGAAACCTTGGGAACATGTATCAATTGTAATTAGTGCACAAAGGATTGTTGGAATGTGTTTATTGTAGAACTTCTTGGAATGTCGAATTAACAGTAACATTTATTGTCTGCCATAGAACTTCCGAGAACTTGAAGCCACTATGTTACTCTTAATACAGTTGTTACACCTGTGATGCCAGTGGCCGAAACCTATCCTGCCCGACTGTATGAATACCAATTATGCAACGGGGTTTTTACCATAGGTAGCAAATAAATGCGATGCCTTAAATACAATACCTTTTTATTTGTGCAGTGAGTATGTGGACACATTCACGCAAGCTAGTATGAACATTCAGACATTTTGTTAGGATATGTTTGAATGAGTACCGAATTTTAATGGCATCCAACATGTCTTAAAAGCAGCATACCTGTAGCTCATCGTATCGATGGCAATGGACATGTGACGAGGTTGCTCAGGGCACGTGTAGAGATTACGATCATCCTCCGGAAGCAGATCAACATCATGAAAAATGAAGCAGTCATACTGATACTGCTTAAGTGCCTCCAAGGCTCCCACATTCATTAACATTGCTCTGTTAAATTTCCCACTACCTGGAAGTAAATTATAGTAATTATAAAACATGACAAAACTTCCTTTCCACCTACAGTATTAAGCAATAGTAGTAAAGTTTTCACCCAGGTGAAATTAGTGTACTGTATAGTGAAGATGTTTCACGATTTGCGTAGTTATACAAGAAATATGTGCAGGTTGAGAGTAGGGTCAATCAGGGAAGGAAAGTTGCTGATGTAATTAAAGCCCTAGTCAGAAAATATAAGATAAAAGATCTGCATGATGGGAGTTATGGTAATGGCTCTTGTATATAGTATCATCAAGAGATGGTGTGGTATGAACATTAAAATTTAAGGAGGTTGTAGTAGAAAATAAAAAGGTAAATACAGTACTTTAAAAATATCACACTTCCATTCATATATAGCATCACAGAAAATAAAATGCCACACTAGTAGTAATCCACAGCAACAGTCTTTCACCGCCACCAGACCAGATGCACACTCCACCTCATGAAAGGTTAAAATATACATTACGTAACAAAATGTGTTACTGTACTTCTCAAGTGACTTCCACCCCGCCTCACCATACAAGATAATGTTTATTCAGGTAAAAGTACATGCATTCAACTAGCACTGTACATACTTTGTCTAAAGCCACTAATACACACAGCATTTTGGGCAAGGTGTGTGAAAAACCACAGAAACTTAAAACCATGTACTTTCTTCCAGGAAAAAATGATAAGAGATATCTATTCATGCTCAACCTTCACTTCATGCTCAACAACTGCCAACACCCTCCCTTCCCCTTCCTCCCCATGAACATGCCAGAGCAAAGTTAAGCAAGGAGACAACCCCAATGGCTCCAAGTCTGGATCTTTGAAAGACAAAGGGGCTGACTCTGGAGCAACCACAGACTTCTTGTGGATGAGCCATTTTAAACCCTCTTGAAATCAGATTATGTTACGCAAGCAGTAAGTGTTCAAGGCGATTTTAATTGAGGATAGACCCTGAATCTAATATGCTGTAAATCTAGCAATTTAACTTTATGGAATAACGAGTTTAAAATGACTTTTGAAAAAACTTTGAAACCGATTTACTGCTTAAAATTAGATTATTTAATGTTTATAATTTTTTAATTTATTCCATTTAGCCAAATTGTTATTAAAATGTTATATATACTATTATTGCCATCATTACTACTAGCACTTTGTTTATAGCAAGTTAAAATACTAAATGTATTATGTCAAAATTTGTAGTTTGATTTGCACATTTGTTCACTTTGGTCAGAATTTTAATGATTTGTTCCGGTTATGAATAAACTGGAAATTTTAATTTACAGTTAAAAAAGAAAAAAAATAATCCATCTTTACAACCTACTTTCATTTATCCTTGTCCCTTACCATATCTTACATGATTTCACACTTGCACCCCGTTGTTTCTTACTGAACACGCCCACCAGTCATCTTGCTGGCACCCCTCCTCTTTCCTCCACACTTTTTTTGTCCTAATTTGCTTGAACACTATGGCATTTTGGCACTATAAACTTTAAGGCATTTTGCTAAACTATTTCACCTTGCTCCTACTGCATGCATAAAATGAAGCTATAAGAAAAACTCTGATATGCATGTACTGTACAAATAAAGATAATTATATGACTGGCAGTAATTAATTACAATTAGTTATTAACCCATCTCCCAGAGATGCATGAAAGAAATAAACTAAACTAAATTTGATTACTGCCAAGTGGTAATCAAAATCTTGCTAAGAGTGAAAAGTTAAAATTCTCTTGTTGACTTTCTAGTTGTATTATGTATATATTGTATAGGTAGCCTGCCATCATATCCCATCTCGAGCAACAGCCATATTAACAATATCTACAACACGCCGCACCTTAAACACTTCAATATTTAACAGTACTGTACTTTATTATACTTTTATACTAACCTGACTGTTCAACTAAATAGATAGCATAGTCAATCTGTTGACGCTGAAGAATGGGGTGCATATGATGAAGAAATACAGCCAGATGTTGAACTCTGTCTCTGTATGGGATGATGATGGCAACCCGGTGACGAGCTCGACACTCTGGTGGTCTGAATCGACCCCCAGGCTCCAGCTCTGGGTGGCTGCGCTCCTGCTCTTCAAGGGTTGGTGCTGTACGTTGAATCTTTACTGCACCCACTGCAAAAACATGGAGCACAGTAAAAAATATGAAAAATACATTACAGAGCAGATCTTTAGCGAACAATTTCTTTATACTGGATGCTGTGCTGGTGAAAGAACACCTGAAGGTAAAAGTGTTAATAATTGACAACCCACAAGAAGGTGAGAAAGGCATTGCAAGTTTGGAATCAGGATGATAAATTAATAATAGTAAATGCCTACAACCCACCAGTGGGTGGAACTAGGTGACAAAGAAACTAGATGACAAACGAGAGGGCCTCATAATGGTCATGAGAGATTATAGTAAAATCAGATAAAAGATAAATCACAATTGGTGGTACAAGGGGAATTTAACTTCCCCTTGTAAGTGAAATGTAAATCTTATTTTGGAGGCATTCATTTACTGTATCAACAAGTCATGCAGACCTCAAGAATGAGGGAGGGGGATGTTCCATCAATACTGGATTTAATAATCACCAAGAAATTGGAGGAGATATTCGACATACAGTGCCTTCCTCTCATGGAAACGTGTGATCATGTCCTGTTAGAAATTAAATATGCTTTGCAATATAATCTAGAGGAGATTAGGGACATTGAAATGGCCAATAAATTTGATTTCAAGAGAGGACACTATGGGGAACTTGGCAAATTCATTAATTTAATTGGAAAGACATGTTGCTAGGCAAGGAAGTAAATCGGATGCATGCCAAATACTGTGAAATATACAAAGAAGGTACAAAAAAAATTACCAAAACAGCTGCAGAACCATAAAACAGGATTGGTTCAACAGAAATTGTGAGGGCCGGAGAGAAAAAGACAAGAAAATGGGTACAATAAAGGAAGAGGCCTAGCTCTCTAACATACCACCACTACAAGCATATAAGAAAATACCCAGCAGTGAGGAGAGAGGCAGAAGGGAACTTTGAGAAAGAGGTAGTGGAAAAATGTAATGCAGCCAGGTCTTTTCTATAAATTAATTAAAAGCAAGCTGTATGTACAGGTAAAGGATAAAATCCAGAGATTGAGAATTGGAACAGGTTCACCAAGAATTAAAAAGAAATGTGTGATACACTAAATTATTGTAGTTCCAAAGTGTGTTTGTACAAAATGAAGATTTCAGAGAGCCAGACCCAATACCAATTCCAGACCACCATAGAATACATAGAGGTATCCCAAGACGAAGTGGAAAAACTGCTCGAAAGGCTAGGAAGAAATAAAGCAGTTGGACCAGATGGAGTTTCACCTTGATTGCTGCAAGAATGTTCAACTGAGCTGAGCATTCCACTCCAATCTATATTCCAGACATCCTTGTGCACAAGAACAAGAACTTTGGCAGATATATGGAAAAAGGCAAACAATTCCAATCTACAAAAATGGCAGCAGAGAAGACCCTCTAAATTATAGACCCATATCCTTATCAAGCATGGGTGTCAAAACACTAGAAAAAATAGTTAAAACCAAATGGGTTGAACACCTGGAGAGTAATGACATAATAGACAGACAGTATGGTTTTCAAACAAGAAGATCTTTTGCAACATATCTACTTAGTTTTTATGATAGAGCCAGAGATTCTACAGGAAAGAGATGGTTGGGTCGACTGTATCTGGACCTAAAAAAGGCTTTTGACAAGAGTTCCACACACACACAGTTGTTTTAAAAATTGGAACAAACTGGAGGGGTAACAGACTTCTAACATGGATGAAATATTTTCCAACTGAAAGAATGATGAAGGCGGTAATCAGAGGCAATGTATTCGACTAGAGGAGTGTTACTAGCGGAGTACCACAGGATTCAGTTCTTGCACCAGTAATGTTCATCTACATAACTTATGTACCAGAAGGAACACAATTATATGAACATATTTGCAGATGCTAAGAAACTGGGGAAGATAGAAGGCAATTTTAATGCCCTTCAAATGAATCTAGACGAGTCATGTTTCTAGTTACTTGTGGGAAACTCAAAGTTTTCTTGAACAGGAACGGTATTTAACCATTCCTCAAAGTGATCCACAACGGTCTACTAACAGCCAAGTTCCTAATTACTGCTAGGTGAACAGAGGCAACGGGTGTAAGGAGATGCACCCAGCTGTCGCGCCCTGACCAGGATAAACAAATAAGACAAGTCCTTGGAGCAACATGTGGCAAATGGAATTCAATGTGAATAAATGTCATGTCATGGAATGTAGAATCAGAAAATGGACAAGTTGTGTGTGGTGAAATGGAATTGAAGAACTAATAAAGAAAGAGATCTAGGGGTGGATCGTGGTATGGATCAGGGTAGCAACGTGGTATGGCCAACGGCCATACCACATTGAGAACACTGCTTCTCGTCTGATCAGCTAAGTTAAGCAAAGTTGGGTTTGGTTAGTACTTGGATGGGTGACCACCTGGGAACACCAAATGCTGTTGGCAATAATGTTTCCAGGAGGCCTAGTCGACGACCAGGCCATGGGGACGCTAAGCCCCGGAAGCACCTCAAGGTAACCTCAAGGTGGTTTTGGATAATAAACATTCACCAGAGGAAGACAAAGAACATTAAGAGAGGAGCGTATGTGTCACTTTCCAACTTCAGACTCGCTTTTAACTACATGGATGGCGAAATATTAATGAAACAGTTCATGACTTCCTCGAGACGAAAATTGGAATATGCAGCAGTTGTACGATGCTCGTATATAAATAATAAATAAATAAATGTTTATTTAGGTAAGGTACATACATAGAGATTTTACAAAGTTTGTTGGATTAATAGATAGAGCTAGTACATACAATGCCTAAAGCCACTATTACGCAAAGCGTTTCGGGCAGTATCTCAAGAAGCACAGCAATTAACTTGAAAAGGTGCAAAGGTAAGCTACAAAATAGCTTCCAGAACTTAAATACAAGAGTTACAAGGAGAGGCATTAAATATGCCAAAGCTAGAAAATTGAAGGAAGGAAGGAAAGGGGGGGAGAAGAAAAAAAAAAAAAAAAAAAAAAAAAAAAAAAAAAAAAAAAAAAAAAAAAAAGGGATAAGATCACCACTTACAAAATAATAACAGAACTACCAAATTGACAGGAATTCCTAAAACCAGCAACTTCAAAAACAAGAGAACACAGATTCATTCTAAGAAAAAGGTGCCAAAAAATATTAGAAAGTTTTCTTTTGCAAACAGTGGTAGACAGTTGGAACGCGTTAAGTGAGGTGGTGGTGGTGGTGGAGGCCCAAACCGTAAGTATTGTGGTTTCAAAGCATTATGTAACAGTACCTGTACTGGGAAGACCTGACAAGTGTAGCTCATCTTGTAACTACACTTAGGTAATTTATATATATACACATGCACACACACCTATACACATGCATACACACCTATACACATACTGTACATGTATAATTTTATTTTCAGGAATGGGAATTTTGTGGTGCCCCCCTTCCCTTTATACCCTAAGTATGTACTTATTTTGCTTAATGGTTAAACCAGCACCAATTACAGGATAGGTTAAAAAACAAAACAGTTGCATAGAAAATACAGTACATCACTTACTAAGTTTAGGAGGCACAGGAGGACACAATGGTTTTTCTTTACTTAGAAGAACCACCTTATTTTCTGCACCACTACCAGTGTTATTTAGTGTTAATGCCTTTGTACCATTAACAACACTAGATATTTTCAACTGCAAGGCATCTTTATTTTTATCACTGTTATTTATTATGGACTCTGCCATCAATACCCGTGTCTCACTTCCTGCATTTACAGTCACATTATTGTTTGCTGGGGAAGGCTTGGCATGTTCCCCCTTTTCAGTTTTTGAAAGTAACAATAACTGCGAGGGAAAAAGTAAATTATGCACACTTTTTTGCACCGCTTCACTCGAGGGCATGATACCGTTTTGGGCAGTTACTCCACTGCCTTTTATCTGTTCTGTATCTTTATCTACACCCAGATTAATGTTTGTTTCATTAAGTCCAACCCCCACAAATCCACCGATAGGGGTTACGTCAGGATAATGCGACTGGTCTGCCGTACCTTGCTTCTCCGAGACTGGATGAATCCACGTTAACTTTGAACTTACCCACCTTACCTGAAACCCAATACATATGCATGTTAGTAAACAATGAATCATTAGAAAAAATATACTTTTTGAAATATGTACAGTACAGTACTGTGTTAATAATGCACTTTGTATAGTAAAGTATTTTGAACATGCATACTGCATAAATTTTATTTTCCCATTGGGAACATAATGGGACATTGGAATATAATGGGACACAAGACAATGCTGCCACACATTTCCTTTCAACATCTATAACTTGCGCACATTGACTACTATGCAATTTATTAGTATACAACTTGATCCTATTTTTTGTAAACATGACCTCCAGCAACATTCACCACGCAAGGCCTTACCAACATTCAGTCTTGCTTCTAACCCAAAACACAACTACTGTACACTAGATCCTCAATGATAATTGGAATTAGAAATATTTGGAGTCACGATTGAAGAATGCAAGAATAAAGGCAAAATACAATACTGTTTTGTAATTTAAACAAGACAAATTAACTTTGCAAGTAACATAAGCTTTTTAAACAAATCCACAAGTGAACAAATACTGCAAAATGTACATTTTTTTATTAATTATAACAAGAGACACGATAGCAATATTTTAAGATATTTTGCATGTGAGCTTGATGCCTGCTTGATGGGGTTCTGGGAGTTGTTCTACTCCCCAAGCCCAGCCTGAGGCCAGGCTTGACTTGTGAGAGCTTGGTCCACCAGGCTGTTGCTTGGAGCAGCCCGCAGGCCTACATACCCACCACAGCCCAGTTGGCCCGGCACGTTTTTTAGAAAACACAGTCTAGTTTTCTTTTTAAGATGTCCACGGTTGTTTCTGCAATATTTCTTACAGTCGCTGGGAGGACGTTGAACAATTGCGGAATTCTGATGTATAAATGATGTTTATACAGTGTTCTCCGATTGTGCCTTTAGATGGATTTAACCACTACCAAAATCATAAGCATATAAAATTTGTAAATACTGGTGGGATATATACTTTGATCTGGTGACCAGAAACCTGAATGCTAACCACTAGTAATACAAAAGTGAATGCAAACACTATGAATGCATATTGTATGCAAATATCTCTTGGGGAGGGGAGGGGTGGAAAAAAAAAAAAAAAACAGCTTTTGTGAATCTGGAATGGGTCGCTGGTCAATAACTTATTGACTAAGTACAGCATAATAGCTCTATTGTAATGAGCTTGTGGGATTGATGGAGGCCACCGACATAAGAAACCAGATGATCTTTTACCAAGGCCTGTGGGACGCTACTCATTTGTGCCCTTTATCCTGAATTTGCCTTCTCAATAGGCAACTATAATCCAGGACAGAACTAATCCAGCTATACAAACTGTTTTTCCCATCTTGCACATGTCTTGTGACATGGTGTTAAAAAAAAAAATCTTAGCAGTATGCAATCTTAAAAAATGGCCCAAATAATTCTATGGACTATACCAATCCATAGATCAAGATGGGCCAATAAATCTCCAAGAAATTGCATATTTTAGTTGAAAATCAAAAAGAAATCCTCTCCTCATTTTTTCCACCTTCACATTCCTTATAATTTTGATTTATACAAGTTATATTTGAAACAAGATATATAGGAGAGTATAGATAGGTACACACTGTAAATTACATTAAGTCACTAATATGCTTTTTTCCTATTTAGACCCATAATTAACTTGTTGCAGTGATTCCGGTTCAACCTTGTACTTTACTGGGGATTGTAAGCAGCTAATGAATAAACAATTTATTTCAGCTTTTCTTACACCCAATGGAGTCTTTTCTGTTAAAAGGGGTGGGGGGGAAAGAGGGATAAAAGAGAAAAAGAGAGCGAGAGAGAGAGAGCGAGAACTAATAGAAATAGAAAAATTAATTTCAGGCAATTTTCTAGTAGAAAAATTTAAAAAAAAATTAAACAAAAATTAAAACTAAAAAAAATAAAATAAATAAAATAAATGAAATAAAATAAAATAAATAAAAATAAAAATAAAATAAATTATATATTATATATTCTTGTACAGCCACTAACACGCATTGCGTTTCGGGCAAGTCCTTAATAATATGTTCCCCAGAATACGACCCCCGCCAAATCGTTTAACAACCAGGTACCCATTTTACTGTTGGGTTAAACAGAGGCCACAGTTAAGAATTGATGCCCAGTAAATCCTCCCGGCCAGGATATGAACCCAGGACAAAGCACTCGTGGGACTGCTGTGTAATTATTATTACATTATTATTATTAATTATTATTAATCATCATCATCATCATCATCATTATATCATCATGTCATCTTCCTTCTAAAATTTGGCATGTTTAAGTCTCTTGGGAGGATAAAATGTGGTGCTGGGTTTTCTCGACAGTTTTAATACACATTGTATTGTACCTGCATGTATAGCCAATATATTCATTGTTGCATCAGATGGAGTAGAAGACTAGGACAATTTCTGTGTGTACCTAGTACAGTAATCACAATAGCATAATACATCAAATTAACAAATCCATCCACAAGGGCCGTGATGAGGATTCGAACGTACATCCAGGACAATCCCAGACACGCTTTAGTCAATTACGCCACTACATGGTAAAAGAATTGCAACCAGGAGTGCTACTGCTCCCACATGTGATTTCTGTGTATATTGAAGCAAGGGCAAAGAGGTAGAACAGCTTGTTGACAGAACCCAGGTGCATGGGGGAATTGTGTAAAACCCCGGTTTGTGTCTCAGAGAAGCAGTTGGATTCATGTGAGAGCAGTAGCACTCCCAGCTGATTTTTTTTACCACGTTGTGGCACAATCGACCAAGGCGTGTCTGGGATCACCCTGGACATAAGTTCGAACCCTCATCACGGCCCTTGTGGATTTGTACTATATTAGGCTTTTGCTTTCTACTTTGATTCCTAAGGTCTGCAATGACATTAAATGTTCTTATAAACTCTGCAGGTAAGCATATCCAATATATTCAGTCTAGTTCATTCCATTTCTTCACTACTATGAAAAAAATATTTCTAATGTCATTATAGCTCATTTGGGGACTTTTTTCCACCTGTCAAATCCATTTAAAAATTGTTTTGTAGTGTTTTTCTCGGGCCTTCTATATCCCTGAAAATTGTGAACAAGGAATCTGTCTCCCCCCTCAACTTTTGTCTTCTGGTGACAGGTTTAATATCTTTCATCTTTCCTCTCAATTCATACCTCTTGGCTCTGGGACCAGTATGGTGGCATGCTCCTTGTCTCTGCTTCAGCTTCATTGCGTGTTTATTCAATATAAAAGAATGTCTATGCAGCATAACCAGAATTGTTCATACATATCTGGTATACCTGTACAATACATATCTTTAACTACACCCTGCTCAAATTCCTTAAGTCCAGTACTTATGTTGACCATCCAATCTTGCACATGCAGTAGATAATATTATACAGGTCTGGTATAATTTGAATCCCCAGGCATTTTGCTGTCACATTCTAGAGTGTTTCCTCTCACATTTGGTACCTTGTGTCGGGTCTCCTATTTCCTGTATCCACCTTCAGTACTTTGCACCGAGTCAAACTCTTTAGACCCCCCTTATTAAACCCCTTATTAGACCAATTTTTCAGTTTGGCCAGGTTATGCTATAAGCTTACTGTAGATTCCATTACATTTATCCCTTACATAATTTTTTTACATCAACAAAGGGATGATGCAAATTGTGAGGGAGAAGTCAATCCCCTTTAGCACTGAATACCCTCCCCTTGCTGGGAAGGCATTTAATACTCTTCCAATATGCTTAAGGAATATTGCTGAAGCAGTCTTCTAGAAAAAACAGGACACTTTTCTGCAAGAAGTGCCTGACCAACTCGGTTGTAGTGGATATGTGGGCCTGCAGCCAAATAAGCAACAGCCTGTTGGACCAAGTTATCCCAAGTCAAACCTGGCCTCAGGCCAGGATTAGGGAATAAAAGAACTCTTGGAACCCTCTCTAGGTAAACTCCAGGTAGAACAAACAGGATTGGCCCTTGCACCAATGCCTGTGGGTCCCTGCTGGTAATATCCCACCACTCTTTAGGTCTAGCTTCACTCGTGTCAGAGGTAAAGTATTCTCCTTTCCACTGGAACACATTCCTTTTTTCTCTGTCTTATGCATCAGTCTCCTGTTTAATACTGTGCTGAAGGTTTTCTGACAGTCCAATAATATATGATCTGCACACCCTTTCCTGTCTTATAATCTGCCACCCAGTCATCAAACTAAGTTAGGGAGGTTCACCCAAATCCTGTTTCGGGGACTATTCTTGCGCATAAAATTCAATTATTATATGCAATTATTATTCCAATGTGTAAAATAAAAACATTACTAAATAATAATTTCCTTCACAACTCACCCTAGACTCAAATGATGGAAGTTCCTCAGCAGAAGTTCCATTAACATAAAAGAGAGAATCATAATTGCGGTAGAAAAGGATGTTGAGGGAAAATTGTGCCATCATCAGTAGAACTACCAACAAGAAGATTAGCTTCAGGAACCTTGGACGGCACACCGAGACACTCATTCTGCAGCAAGAGCCACTGTGGAACCTTCTGAGCTCGTCATCAGCACACTGGGAGTACATTATGCCACCTGAAAAACAATGAACATAAGACAACAAAAAATATACAAATTTAGAAGGAGGTTTATCTATAATGTTTTAAGCATCTAGAAAGAATTTTTAGAAGGTATAGTACTGTAATTATTACCAATTTATTATTATTATTAAAATCCACCAGGTAGCAAGATGCAAATATTGGGTGGGAAAAGCTCATGGGAACAAATGGTGAAGATTACAAAGGAAAGAGAGCAAAACTTATGGAGGGAACATAAGAATAAAGGGAACTGCAAAAGGGATATTAAATTAACCTATTTGCCACACCAACTCTTATGTCTACCTTACAGCTGTACCTGGATTGAACCTAATTATGTTCTAAAGAGTTCTTTTACTCACCCAAGCCCTGCCCTAGGTCAGGCTTGACTTGTGAAAGCTTGGTTCAACAGGCTTGGAGTGGCCCATATATATATATCCACTACAGCCTGGTTGATACTTGCTTGATGGGGTTCTGCGAGTTGTTCTACTCCCCATGCTCGGCCCAAAGCCAGACTTGACTTCTGAGAGTTTGGTGTACTAAGCTGTTGCTTACAGCCTTCTTACAGCTTAAAGAACTTTGCATTTCTTTATAAGTATTGAATTCCATGAGTCTGGACCCAGGACCAAGTGCATGGGAATGTTTTAAATTTCTTTCAAAACGGCAGAGTTTGTGTTAATAATTAGGGACATTTTATCTCCTCCCCCCCCTTTATCTATCCTTTTTTTATTAAAATTGAAAAAACCCTCTCCCTTGATAATTTTTTTTAGACCTATTATGAGTACTGATGTTAGTTTGCACTTCAATTAACTTGTGATTTGAGTATGTGGTATCTGAGGTTTAAATGTCCCTAATTATTTTTTTAGTTGTTTGTGAAAATCAGATCTGGAATATTTTTGGTCCTAATTGGCACTCATCTTATCTTGCCAGAAAAATCCCACAAACCCACACAAGTTACTACATACAGTATCTTACCAGCAGCTAGCCTAACACTTCTCCTTTTACCAGTCAGCCCGACATGTCAATCATTCATTCATTAAAAACCAAAGCTGGGAACACTAGTGAAATACCATCTATGGTATACAAGAGTGCTGCCCATGCCCTTGCACCATCCATAGTTCAGCTATTCAATAAATCTCTAGAGTATCATACCTTCCTCAATATCCTTAAGAAAGCACTAGTAATGCCAGTTCATGATAGGGCGATACGGCAGACAAACCATTACATACCGATATCTAATCTACCTGTATCAAAAATATTTGAAAAAAATATTTAAACAGGTCTACTCCTACCTCGTAAAATTCAACATATCGAGTCCCTGTCAGTTTGGCTTCCTCTCCTAAAGAGCATCAACAATCCAATTATTAGTCTGCTTGATATAATCTACCATGGATCAAAGGCCTTTCTCAGGTCAATGAAGACCCCCCAGTTGGGATTTTTTTTTGTCAAGGGCTGTACTCGCCTAGTTGTGCTTGCGGGGGATGAGCTTTGGCTCTTTGGTCCCACCTCTCAACTGGTGTACAGATTCTTGTACACCAGTTGATTGATGGGACCAAAGAGCCAAAGCTCAACTCCCACAAGCACAATTAGTTGAGTACAACTAGGAGAGTACAGCCCTTGACAAAAAAAAAAAAAAAAAATATTGTGGGTCTTCATTGACCTGGGAAAGGCCTTTGATACTGTAAACCATAACTACCTCATGCTTAAACTTCACCAATATGGATCCGAGGCCTTGCCCTGAACTATATTTGATGCTATCTTTGTGACAGACGCCAATATGTAGCCATCAATGATATACCCTCTCCCACTAACTGTAGAAGTGCCACAGGGCAGCATCTTAGACCTCTTATTTCTTACATAAACCAATGATCTGCCTTATGTCTCGAACATTCTTAAACCTATAGAGTATTATTTGCTGACGATAAAACCCTTCATCTACTCAGACCCCAATCCCCACACACTAAATAATGGTTAAATAACAAATTAAACAATAAAGTCCACTCATGGATGTCAACCAACAGGCTCACACTAAACATAGAAAAGACCTGCTACATATTATTTGGAAGCAAATCAAATGAAATCCAGCTTCAGATAGACAATGTTAACATCGGCAATAAAAATGTAAAGGTCCTTGGCCTATATATAGACAAAAGACAACTTCAGCACCCACATTCATCCATAACTAAAATACTCAAAAACTGTCGGTAACTTTCTAAAATCAGTGTAGTAAAAATGTCAGTCTGGCAATGCCTTTGTTTACCTCAATCAGATACTATATTATGTTCCAAACTCAGCTCTCCACTCATTATATTATGCGCTAATCTATCCCTATCTTGCATACAGCATCTGTGCATGGGGGTTCAACCACTGCAAACTACCTCAAGCCCATCACCACCCAGCAAAAATCTGCTATCAGAAAAATAAACCGTTTTCAGACAACACACAGCTTACTGTGCTGTGTTGCATACAGCAACACACATAACACAATGTTCAGTTTAAATCCCTGTACATGCGAAACAACCTCGCTGCACACATTCTCTTTTACCATTTCCATGTACAAAACCTTGTTCCTAAATGCAAATCCTGATCTGAAATTCTTCCTCGACAGATGTAATAAAACCCATAATCACCACACCAGAAATAAAAATTCCTGATATCCCCCAGAGTCAAACTAAATACGTGTAAACACTAGGTCTATTTGCATAGTCTATGGAACTCGCTCCCTAACGAATTAAAAAGCCGTCCCTTATTCAAAGGTAAAACCAAAAAGTACCTAATTTCATCCTCAGTTTCCTACCTAGTGCTTCAAATCCGCACTGTATCTTGTGCTTACCCATTCCCCCAAATGTGTGTGCCTAAGCCTTACAACTTCACCATTGTAATCACTGCTATTAATTTGTATCATGGTTGTTATGTTGAACGCAAATTTGACTACAATGTACCCATTAATAATCCTCAAATTATGCTACAATGTACCTGTTAATATTCTTAATTTTTTGCTACAAATTACCTCCTTAAAATTATCTGTTAGATTAAGGTCCTGTCCGAAACAATGCGTTTTAGTGGCTTTGCAAGAATGCAAAAAACTCAATGCAATGTACTCTCAAACCCAATGTTCCTTCTTGTATATAAATAAAAATATAAATAAATATCTGCTGAGCGAGTGAAAATGTGTTACAGAATCTACCTAGTTCTCTGACCTGTGGTTGGCTATTTCCCGACAGATTTCCTGGTACATTATTATCGTTTGCTATTCTCCATCTTAGACTACGTAAGGTTGAAGTCTCCTAGGAAGCTAATATCAGGTTGATACCTGGTTGATACCTGGTTGATGGGGTTCTGGGAGTTCGTCTACTCCCCAAGCCCGGCCCGAGGCCAGGCTCGACTTGTGAGAGTCGTGTAATCGAGTTTGTCTGATTCTCGAGGCGATATTTATTCTTTTTATCTGCTCTACGAATTCCTTAGGTTTATCTGGCAGTTTGTATATTAGAATAATTAACCAAGTTTATTTTCTTTGTTGTTACCACAGTACTTCTACCACCTCATTTGTGAAGTTAAGATAAAATAGCCAGGGAAGGTGAAGAGAGACCAGGGAAGTGGGGAAGACATCAAGAGAATGTTCTAATAAACCTATTGAGGGGGAGGGGTTTAAGAGAATGAGCTAATAAACCTACTGAAGTTTTCTATTCTTAATAAGAAATTATTTTTGTTTCAACTTGGGCTCTTGGCCAAGAGCTGGAACCTGAGAGGGAGTATCTAAAACCAACTCCACGGGTTCAGTGGGTAGAGAGGTACAAGAATGAGGGGGTCGGATCCCGTTGCAGTTATTAGCAGGTGACAAAGACGGGGGGGGGTCGAGGTCGAGCCACTCCTCACACTGCAGTCCCACGTGCGAGAATCCACATATTTCCTTTGTGCAAACGCCGGAATAAAGCCTTTCAAATAGACATTATGAAATAATCCTGGGCCCCGTGACGCAATTCGACAAAATTATACATAATTAGTCATATTAGGAATGGCCCAATAAATATGATACTGTACTAAGCATACACACATACGAACACCACACCAATGAGCCCTCCTGACCGTGACGCCAACATAGTCAGCCTCATGAGCCAGTCTTATCACATTGTGAAACCGGTCATCTTTCAGGCGGGCCAAATATAACTAATTTACAATATAGAGAAACAGATCACTACAGCCATCAGTTAGTACTCTTAAAACTTTACCTAGCTTCAAATATGTGCCAGTTTCTGGAGAAGTAAAACGTCACTTATAATTTCCTACACAATAACAGCAGTCGCATCTTACCCACGTAGCTAAAGCTATGGTCCAATGAAGGCTTTCGACCACAGGGAAACGGGTTCTTTTGACAGTAGAGGTCAGAGTCGTAGACGTGAGAGCCGTGCTGGAACAGCACCGGCTGGTTGGCGTGGTTGGCTCCACCCCTGACACTCTGGTACTGGTGATTCCTGGCGATATACTGCTGATGTCTGGCTCCTCGTGTAACTGGTTGGCGGGTACTTCCACAGTCAAACTCTTCGTTTTCCACGCAGTAGTAGCCCGCAGTTTTAGAGACTTTCGAGGGCGTGCTGTGGTGGTGGCGCCAGGCCTCCTGCTGTGGGAGGGTGGTGGAGAGTGGTATGGGTTTCTGCATGGCTAACAGGTGGCGGCTGAGAGGGGTACAGGTAGTAGTAAAACATGGAAGACAGTTGAAGACACTATAGCAGAAGGTATCAAAGCTGGAGGTGTGCCTTCATAAAAGGAACTGTGATAGGCGAAAGAGTAAAGCAGGTGGTGGGAGAGGTTAGGTTATAGTGTAAAACACTTCACTGAACTTTGAGTAGTAAAATACCAGGTGGTGATAGAAGGAGATTGTCACCACGTTAAGTAATTCAACTCTCAATGTCTCTTTACATGGTAAATTTTGTCACTTTCTGTATGCCTGACTCAGATTATAATGATTCATGTACAATAAAGTTTAATTTACGGTACTTATAATCGTGTAAAATTTAAAACGCAAGAGTCCTGGCCATGAAAATGTTTACACCAGCCAACAAACTACCTCCCGACAATTAACAGATCCCTAGCAATAAGTCTGCTTTCTGCGAACAACGTGGCTTCCCTGTAGAGTGTTGCTTCTCCGTTCAATAATAATTTTTCTCTAACTTCACTATGGCACTTACTTCAGGAACACATTAAAAGTAGACTTCAAAAGTGGCATTCTGCTTCACTAGTGGTGTCATCAAAGCGGCGAAAACTCGCGAGTCCCATTTCTGGCCGTGCAGTTGGAGATTATTCCTCTTTTATAAAGCCGGTCTTCTAACTGTTCGGGAGCCTCCACGCCCACACACACACACACCACAATCCAGAAAGCTTTCCCCAACTTTCAGCAACTTCCTTCTACCGGCGCAGAAGATGGGAATGAGGGACCGTGTGTGTGTGTGGGTCCAGCAAACAATGGCGGGTCTGTTAAATGTTGACTGGGGTGACTCCAACCAGCGAACAGTATCTGGCACACTCTCTACTTGACGAATACCAAGAAACACTATTTCTCCTTCACCTTCAGTTTGTTATCAAATTAACTTGTGTCTTGTGCTTCGTGTGCATCAATAGCTTCGTTACCTGCCAAGGAAAAGAAAAACATATGTAATACTTTAAACAAAGTCATTGAACTCTTGTATATATAAATAAATAAAAATTGTGTAAATAACAGGTGTTTACATAATACTGCAAGAAATACATTAATTGTAACAGAACGAGAGAAATTGCATGATATTAAAATATAGGAAAACATTACCTGTTATTACGTTCAATAAATGCACCAATAACTTTAAGAGAAAACTGAGGGACGTAGTAAGAATATTTGGGCCACGTTTAAAAGAAAAAGAAAAAGAGTAAACAGCGCATGCATTAACTGGGTTAAATCCCACTGTGGGAACCGTAACTTGTGAAGTGCTCCAGAATCCTCCTCTGGGGATTTGTTCATTATTATTATACAGTATATATATTATATACTGTATATGTTTTACATATGTATATATACACACATACACAGTATATGTAATATTTATATATTGGGGAATAACATTTCATTCACTTTTATCATCGAGCCTGAAAAAAACACTAATCACTGTAGGCATTAGATCAGGATGGTCACAATAAGGCAGGGCCTCAGAAGTACCTAACTGGTATTCAACTGAGACTCTAAACCTTATTTGATATGGCTAACGGGTTGGATAGCAACTAAATCCCATAGTGATGCTCCACTGAAGGTTTAAAAGTTTCCATTGGGCACCAACAATAAATTGTTACCTAGCGCATGGTGTACTTATAAAACATCCCAACTTAAAACAAAAGGTATTGTTGCCGCCTTTGGGAAAACAATATATGCTTATGCAGCCCATCCTCCGAATATGGGGAGGTAAATGTAATGGCACAAGTAAGTGTAATGATGTACTATTTCTAACAGCCATGAATTGTACACATATTTTCAGTTAGTATTAAACCGTACTGTCAAATAATCACCAGAATATTTGAGTTTACGCGAAAAACTGAATAGAAAACCACGACCTAGCCTACCTTTAACAATGTATGAGGACAAGCATTTTATTGTTTCTTATTTACAATTAGTACTTAACCTATGGCTATACTGATATTACAGTTTTATAAAACTAATAAAACAAAACTAAAATCTTTTAATATATTATAAAAGTAACTCAGGGGATTTTCAAATTTTGTATAAAATCTCTATTGTTTAATAAAACTGAAAAAAATTTTATATTTAAAATTTGCGTATATAAAATAAAACATGAAAACTTCATCCTAGAATTCTGAGTGTTTTAACAGAAAACAAGGAGACTATATGGGGAGGTAAATGTAATCGGACATATAAGAGTAATTATTACACTTAGTAATAAACCGTACTATCAGTTCGGTGGATGGATTGCCTTATGTGTTAACCTAGAGCACAGCCTAATGGATACGGCTGTAGTCTTACAGGTGATACCTGGTTGATGGGGTTCTGGGAGTTCTTCTACTCCCCAAGCCCGGCCCGAGGCCAGACTTGACTTGAGAGTTTGGTCCACCAGGCTGTTGCTTAGAGCGGCCCGGTTGGTCCGGCACTCCTTGAAGGAAACAATCTAGTTTCCGTTTGAAGATGTCCACGGTTGTTCCTGCAATATTTCTGATGCTCGCTGGTAGGACGTTGAACAACCGTGGACCTCTGATGTTCATACAGTGTTCTCTGATTGTGCCTATGGCACCTCTGCTCTTCACTGGTTCTATTCTGCATTTTCTTCCATATCGTTCACTCCAGTACGTTGTTATTTTATTGTGCAGATTTGGGACCTGTCCCTCCAGTATTTTCCATGTGTATATTATTTGGTATCTCTCGTCTCCTTTCTAGTGAGCACATTTGGAGAGCTTTGAGACGATCCCAATAATTTAGGTGCTTTATCTCGTCTATGCGTGCCGTATATGTTCTCTGTATTCCCTCTATTTCAGCAATCTCTCCTGCTCTGAAGGGGGAAGTGAGTACTGAGCAGTACTCAAGACGGGACAACACAAGTGATTTGAAGAGTACAACCATTGTGATGGGATCTCTGGACTTGAAGGTTCTCGTAATCTATCCTATCATTTTTCTGGCTGACGCAATACTTGCTTGGTTATGCTCCCTAAACTTTAGGTCGTCGGACATCATTATTCCCAAATCCTTGACATGCTGTTTTCCTACTATGGGCAGATTCGATTGTGTTTTGTACCCTGTATTATGTTTAAGATCCTCATTTTTGCCGTATCTGAGTACCTGGAATTTATCACCGTTAAACATCATGTTATTTTCTGCTGCCCAATCGAAAACTTTGTTAATATCTGTTTGTATTTTCAGGTGGTTTTCATTAACAGCCTAATTTAGATGTGATGATCTGTTGTTGCTTGAATTCCTTTGTAACCCCTTTGTAAGTTATCTACAAGTACACACACACACACGTGAAAAGTGGCCTTGTAGGGCAATTCCCCAGGCAAATGTCAGCACATAATAAAAAAAAAACTCGCCATAACATTGAGGTCAAGAAACTTGATGGTTCATCTCCCACCTACTCATTCTCCCAACAGTCCAAGCCAAGACAAATAAACCCCCCACTGTGCGTTCCAAGATTACACCTGTGTAATCTTTCCGTTTGACTTTACTTCATTCCAGTTAGTTGAATGTATTTTTTGGTTAGAAACTGATACATGCTCAGGCATCTAGCAATTGAGGGAATATCAATGTAAACAAAGTTTCAATCAACAAGCTAGGAAATTGTTACATATTTATGAGTTACGACAGTCGATAAGGAGAGAGTATTTTGGAGCAACATACATCATCTCACAAACTGCTTAAAGAAATAATTTCTTATCTGTAAATCTAATAAGACACAATTAATCTGTTGGTTTTTTATTCTCATGAAGGGATAGGGAAGGCTGATACCTGGTTGATGGGGTTCTGGGAGCTCTTTGCTTGTGATATGATCATTCTTTGGAATGTGGTGGTAGTTCCTGCGAGACCACATATCCACCACAACCAGGCTGTGGTGGATATGTGGGCCTGCGGACCGCTCCAAACATCAGCCTCTCTTGTCTGGAGCATCAAGAGATAAAATGTTGTGCCTTATATATAATGGCAACCCATCCTCCGAATTGACAGTACGATTTAATACTAAGTGTAATAAGTACACTTTCTTACTGTTATAAACAGTGCATAATTGCACTTATGGGGCTGTTACATTTACCCAACTCCCTCCCCCTATTTAATTCTCCTCGTTTTCTGTTAAGACACTCAGAATTTTAGGATGAAGTTTTAAATTTCAATTTGCTATACACAAATTTTAAATATCAGGAATTTCTTTTTCAGGTTTATTAAACATTAGAGATTTTATACAAAATTTTAAAATATCCTGAGTTATTTAACAATTTATTGATATATTTTAGTTTTATAAAACTGTAATATCAATATAGCTATAGGTTAAGTACTAATTGTAATTAAGAAGCAATACAATTATTATCTTCAAAATCTAAGACGGTTAGGTGAGGTTGTGGTTTTCTATTCAGTTTTTCAGGTAAACTCAAATATTCACAATATATTTGACAGTACGATTTAATACTAAGTGAAAATAAGTACAATTCCTAACTGCTATGAATAGTACATAATTGCACTTATTTGTCTTCTTACATTTACCACCCCAAGGGAGCCGGTCGGCCGAGCGGACAGCACGCTGGACTTGTGATCCTGTGGTCCTGGGCTCGATCCCAGGCGCCGGCGAGAAACAATGGGCAGAGTTTCTTTCACCCTATGCCCCTGTTACCTAGCAGTAAAATAGGTACCTGGGTGTTAGTCAGCTGTCACGGGCTGCTTCCTGGGGGTGGAGGCCTGGTCGAGGACCGGGCCACGGGGACACTAAAAAGCCCCGAAATCATCTCATGATAACCTCAAGATAACCCCATTTTTGGAGGACGGGCTGATAATGTGGTGTGTGTGTGTGACATGAGTAATTATGCCGGTACAGGTTGCAGACTGCCGATTTCAAGGCTATACAGAACTGATACTCTACTCGCACAGGTCTCGGCAACCTCTTGCTGCGTGTGGAGGGAGGGGTTACCTCTGAAAAAGGTTAGTATCTCGTTAAGACCAGAAATACAATAACGTTAATGTACTCATGTCTGTGTCTTTCCAGGAAACACAAAATCAATTCACGAATGGTATTGACTGATAAGATTACGTTATACATTGTTGCCAGATTAGATATAATTTATCTGTGAATTAATACTGATAACACCCATGTTAGACTGGGAAGAACGCAGAGTGCAAATTTGCATTATATCTAAACGCAATATGCATAAATTAACTGTAGCTTTCTCCACTGTATAATTTTTGTTAAAATAGTTTTGTTTCAAATGAACTAGCCTAGGCCTAGTGTTGCCGGCGGATAGGCCGCTTATTTTTGGCCCCACCATCAACTCAATATATATATGGCATTTACATGCAAAGAAACACACTTCAAAATATACAAAAAAAAATCCTGGTTTTTAGACTGATATTAAACCAAATAAAAACTTCAGACGTAAATCCTTATACGTTTATAATTAGCAAATACGGTACATTAGGACATTCCAAAAATGCACACATTTTTAAATCTTTATAATTGATTAATAATACTATTATTATTTTTATTATTATTATTATTATTAACACCCAAGCGATGGTGGATTTCGCAAATGATATGTATATTGTTAGGTATTCCCCTCACCGGCAAAGCTAGACAAATGACATCGATGTAGCAGTGAATTAGTGTTGATCCTAGGTTCGTTAACATTACTCGAGCCAGCTGGGTTGTTAGCTTGGCACAAGGGTTTAATATGGTTCACCCTCAATAAAGTATGCAACAACCAACACACACACACACACACACACACACACACACACACACACACACACACACACACACACACACACACACACACACACACACACACAGGACCAAAGGTTGAGAGGCGGGACCAAAGAGCCAGAGATCACATACAAGATTCTCAGAGGAATTGATAGGGTAGATAAAGACAGAGTATGTAACACCAGAAGCACACACACT